TTTTGTATTGGATAAGCTACCAAACCTGTGATTTACCTAGTGTTATAAATGCCTCTCCCCTCTCATTGAACACAGGTCCTACAGGCATACTTAGTCATTATGGTCCTTTGGGACTCCATCCTCCCACAAGAAGTAGCCATAGACATTATCAGGAAAGACAAGCAGTTGGATATTGATCTAAAAGTGCTGGATGGCATCAAGAGGACTCGTTATCTACAATCTCATCCTCCTGAGATCAATGCAGGCAATCTTCACCTTGCTTGGTCATTTGCTTGAAATTCATCTGATCATGATCATTTTACATACATGCTAGAAGACGATGCATGTGGTGCGTAAGTGCATGCGCCAACAAACTACACTGTATCAAATGGGAGATATTGTATGAATGGCAGGCAGCTCTGAAGGTGTGGATAATTTGAACATTGCATGCTACATACAATCCAGGTATCTAGATTGTTACACAAAGATTTGTCATGACTCACCATATACTGCATCGAATATGGCAAAGAGATGTTCCGCGGCACCCACAGCGGTCTGACCCGCAATAGCCTCCGCCATAGCATTCCTATCTGGTGTGGTGTGAACTGCAATACGTGCACGAACCCCGACATCCTTGTGAATAATGAGGAAATGGAGAGTTCGCTTCCCAATATCCTTCCAATATTCTGAAGGACCGTTGGAATCCTGACCGCCTGTGTCACTCTCACCCTCACCCTGAAGCATCGCCTTCGCTTCGGTCACCATCGCTCTGCAGACCTTGGGATCATCTCCTGGGGTTAATATTGATGTGGCAGTCCGCTCTTTCCACTCTTTCCAGCCCTTGTACCCACATATGACGGCTAGCTGATTGAGACCCATGTAGTGTTGTTGGCAGAATGAAATATTTCTGCCAGTGGCAATTGCCAGGCGGCAATTGCCGGCAGTAGGTCGAAGGTGGTTGGCAGAAGTTGGCAGAACTATGATAACCTAGTACTTGTTCCTACTAACAAACAATAGAAATTTGACATATGGTTGATGTATCTTGGTGTGCAAGTTGGCAATTACCATGGCCCCAAAATCCAAGGGCCATCATGTCCAAAACATCGTGTCTGACCACTTTTTCCCTGCAGGGAGAAAGTCAAAAATAACTCGAAACACTACTTTTTCAAATGTAACTACTGCTCACATCCATTCAATTGTACCTCACATGGCCGATATCAAGCACTACTTTTCATCTCAGTCCGTTTGAATCACTTCATGCAAGCTATGCATACTTCCTGTACCGTAAAGATGGACTCCAAAGCTGGGAAGCCTGTTTGTCGAACACACACATATACCTGTCCTAAACATGAACTCAATGTTGCTTTTGCCGACAAGTCGCAAAAATCGGTTGCTTGGATTCCTCCCCTCGCAGCAGACTCTGATGACCAAGACTATCTTGCAGGTTCGGAATCAATGACTGACAAGGAGTTGATGTGAGCAAAAGATTCGAGCGCAAGACATGAGAAGCTGACCAGCTGTGAGAAAACGACGGGGCAGGCAATAGTTTGATTGCAGGTGATGTACCAGACATTCTGGATAGCGCCGAGCGGCATCATTGACTTGAGCCTGAGTGAGCTAGAGGGTTGACAGAGGTATCATGCGTTGAAGAGATTGATGTACTCAATCAAGGCTCAGAGAGTGCATCAGGGTGGAATATTGATGCACTTTTGATGTCAGAAGGTGTAGCCTCGATGTAGTGGTCAAAGCTATTTTTGCCGTAGTAGAAACATAGTGGAAAAGAGCCAAAAACGCTCATAATACTTTTTGCCGACTTCTGCCATTCTGCCAATTGCCGTTCTGCCATTTTGCCAATTGCCATGAGGCCAATTCCTTTCTGCCCCCTACACTAGACCCATGTCAAGGAGCATCCGCCGATGGATCTCATGGATATTGGCTTTATCCTGTACCACCCAAACGTGAGTATGACCACAGCCAAAAAAAACACATGACGAACGCCAGAAACACCCTTCACCAGCATCCCTGACTTGAAACCCCCCACCAAGTGGGAGAAGGGTTTTGTCGGATCTAAAGACCCAGGCACCTATACCTCGGTGCGTGGGAACCCTTTCTAAAAAACTGTACAGTTGATTAATCATCATCATGGATACATAATGATGTTGTCCAAGTTGTCAATATACAAACTCGAGTTCTGACAAAACAAAGGTCCTACCTTCTTGAATGTCTCAGCAGTACACGAATTGAGCCACGCCCTTTCCTGCGTGGTCAGTCCCAGTGAAAATCGGACGGACGCCCTCGCACGGAGAACGACGGAAATCGATGGAATTTGAACGGCTGGATATCCGTATATGAGATGAGCGTTGACAAATGGCGCGTTCCGTCGATACTAAGAAGACTGATAGCGACGTTGATTGGTGCCAGTCTACGGAATATCGAGTAGTTAGATTTCCGTAGATTTGCATAGATGGCTTGCATCCTTTGGTTCTCACAATGTATTGACGCAAATCAATGAAAAACAATGCATTTGAACCGCTACAAAAACAACAAAAAAAGCTATAAAATGGGCTACACACCCGTACTAGTACACCCGCTCGCGCCAGCTGCTCTGTCCAGTACCGTTCTACCCCGGTGCCTGGCTAATGTAGTGTGCCGCTGGAGAACTTTGTGAGGACTTCGACCGTATTTGCGGTCCAAATGCAGTCAGCAACCTAGATAGAGCACACGAATGAGTGTGCAATAGGGATAGGATCAGTACTTACCAGATTCGAAGCCTCGATGTCGTAGTTCTGTAGCAGTAAGCATTACAATAAGAACAGAGCACAGGGTAAAAAGAATAAAAACGATACCGCTTGACGTGTCTTTTCGAGCAAGTCCCAGTATGCCTTGAACTCTGGCAAGGAGTCGTTTGGAACAAGCCCCTTCACCAGCAATGGACGCAGAACTTCTGGAAGAAAATATTCGAGTTGTCAGAAGACAAAACAGAGTATTATACTCACCTATTAATGTTCTGTGTTGATGTTCCTCGCATTCATTGGTGCCCGAAACATACAAAGCAGAGAGTCCTCATGATGTCGCGAAGCTCCGACTTGTTAGTGGAGAAACAACATCCAAAACCTAGGCCGACAGCAGATCAGGGAATCAGAGTGGCAGTACTGAAAAAAATGCACTAGTGTGGCACGAGACATGTCAGGAACATTAGCTGTTCATTTTGAGCTTGGTACTAGAGGATTGCGTTCAATGAATGATTATATGCGCTCTATTTTGAATGTATTTATCTTTGCGGAGTGGCAACGAACTCACATCATTTGAAGAGAAAAATTTCTGTTTGTCCAGGATATCTGTGGCTGTGGTGTAGTAGAAGGGGCGAGATTGTGTTGAGACAGCTGTTGATTGTAGTGAATTCGAAAAGTAAGACACTGACGCCCACATGGCTGGAGACATTGGCATAAAAAATGCCAGAAGAGCGGGCGCGTTGTGTTACATCGAGTGAGATGATACTAGCAGTGATGGTGGTGAGAGGAGAAGAGTTTCGTTGAAACTCCAAGTCACAAGACATGAGTATACACAAGCGAGTTGAAACATTGAAGTTGGATTTCGCGCATGGACCATTTGCTGCGGAACACTGCTCAACAAGGTGTGCACTTTGAGTTGAACATGCTGAACCGCATGCAGTACGATTGCAGCATTGAGCACGTACTGCCCAAATCGTACACATGCTGTTCAACGTTTGTTTGCACAAGTTAGATTTCCATCGATCTAGTTCTACCTACTACTCCAAACTTACAACCCTGTCAATCTCCGTGCGAGGGCATCCGACCGATTTTCACTGGGGGTCAGTACTGAGATCGATCAGCATTCAGCGTTGGTTATCGAGAAGGTCCTGCCCTGCACAAACGAGAATGGTCGTTTGTTGGTACATGTATTTGGTTGTTTGGTCACTGTTGATTTTCTTCGATTGTCTCATGCTCGTTTTCTCTCTACTCTCTTGTTCCATTCATCCCAACTGCCTAGCGCGCGCCTTTCGGTGCATCTTGTTTATTCAACAGCCGCGCTAGGTGGGGCAGCACTCCCTCTGTCCTTACAGTTACAGGCAGAGTATTCCTGGGCTGTAATGCCTGGGAGGGGTCGCTGCTGGGATTGGATTTACCTCTTGTGCCCTTTTGGCACAAACGGGGTGACCTTGTTTATGTCTTACTTACAGGGTGCCCTCTCACATACCATGTGAGGGTATTCTGTTCGTTTGTTTTCTGTGGCACCCTTTGTGTACAGTTTGATGTGTCTTTTCCGCCCTGCCACCTTATTTCTCACCTTGTAGGGCGGAACTTCCGCTCCTTGCTCTGGCGCATCTCTTTGTAGACAGGTTGTGCCGACTCTTTCTGTCTTGTAGCCTTACCTACTGCGTCCGCCTAGCATACGCCTCCCCTTAGTGGGAGGCACACCTGTGGCAACCTATTTTACTCGTTGCTCCCTTTATCCCAGCCGCCTGGCATAGTCCTCACTGTCTTGTGAGGCAAATCTGGAGCATGCTGCAGTCGTGCTGGGCGTTGCTGCACGACGTTATTCCCTGTACAGGGCATAGGATGGGGACTGATAAGCTGGATTGCGACCACATCAATAAATGCCTTGAGTTCTCTTGGCGTTGTTCTTGAACTGCATCATGCGAATGTTCACTGAAATATCTATTATAGCCTACTATCCCCTACGCTCTATTCGTGACGGTACACTATTTCGTGAGTCGCACTCATGTCACGAATAGTAATGGACAGTCACACTGGCCGAATTTACAGTCCGCTCGGCAGACGGTTAGATTCATGATTCGTGATTTATGAGCTACTTGGATGTGGGTGTTGAGTGGAAAAATATGGTGGATGTGGAATATGGAAACCAGTGTGAGAAGAGGGATGTACAAACCGTGGCGGTTGCAAGTGCCCAGGCTGGGAGTTTGCAGGAAGTTCTGTTGGCAAATTCTGTGGTTGGCTCGAGGTTGAAGCTGCCGACGCCATAGCAACGGCACTCGTTCGTTTGCGCCCATGAAGTCCCGCGAGCCTTGGCTGACTGGCACAGTCAGGATTTCCTGCAAGATGTTCCTTGATTCGTGCAGTCAGTTCAATCATTGTCCCATCTCTGAGTAGCGGAAGAGCGCCGGCGATAGTGACGAGGTCGTCCTTGCGCTTGTATGATGATAACGAGCCGTCGAATACCTTCGTTTTGATTTCTTCCTCAATGCGCGAGAGCCGAACATTGTTTTCGGCTTTTTTCTGGGCTGCAACCTGTACAATGAAATTAGCACTGCAAGACCTCGAAAAATACATTATCATGCCTTGGGTACCCTTGCAGCTACTGTGATACTCTTGTAGGTACCATTTGTGACACCCAGGAGTGCAGCCTGGATCCTGGACTCATAATTGGGGTCTGTAGATGCCACCAGCTTGCCTCGGTGACGCCCCATGGCATGGCGATTGAGCCCAGCTCAGTGCTCCCTACCTGCTCACGCATTGCGGCAGCTGCAATGAAACACACTGCTAAATTTAATGTCTGACATCGGCAGCCACGGCAGGTGACACCGATACGTGATTTTTGCTGCTGTCGCACTGAAAACACGATCTCCACCATTTCTCACCGGATTTGTTTTGTTTCACTTGGGACATGCTAGTATAGTATATAGAACGTGCTTAGTGATGTAGCTAAGCAATTGCTTTAAAATTGAGTGCTGTGGACAAAAATCACGAAATAGTGTACCGTCACGAATAGAGCGTAGGGGATAGTATATATACACATGGATATCATATCTGAGTGCGAGTTAGTGATGTCTTGGTACGCGCAGCGCAAAGCTTTTTGAGAAAAAAACGTGGCACCAAGCTGAAGTCACCGGCATCCACCATCCCAAGTCTACCATGCTACCTCAGCACTAGCCTAGTTTTCGGCGAGTGTGCACTCCCTAGACCTGTTGTTTGGAAAAATGGAAGGTGCGTCCATCTGGAAGACTAGAACTTCCAGACATGATATTAGAGTACATGTTGGATGGGAGGCAATCTGTCAGTCGCCTGATGTGAACATCATGCTGTGTAATCACACCAGACAAAAACACACCAAAACCGTAGAAATTAGCAGAAAATCGGGCAGTCAAAACATAGGTGTGGGACGTTATTAGGTTCTAACTGGAATTCGAATCCCGTCGTCATGAGTTCGTCAGCGGAGGCGAACATGTAGTCGAACCCTGGCCAGTCCACGGCAATATCTGCACTTGGTGTTGACATTAGTGCACAATGATCACTGGCAATCGTATGAGCATGCCATGAAAGTGCCACAATTGTCAAAGTACTCAGTGTGCAGGATGATGGGCCATTGAAAAATGCCTGCCACCTCTAGCACTGGCATGTTTTTGCTGAGCCTTTGCACCTTGAAATGAATTCAGTCTGGACTTAGGGCATCACAATATAAATGACTCCGTTGGATTGCTTCACAACCTTTGCTGCTCTTATGTCGTTGTAGCCACCGCAAGCTGGCTCCTTTTTATGTTAAAATCATTGGTTTATATCACAATGTTTTGTGAGGCTAATGAATGTTTTCCCTCTTCTCTCTACTCTTATTTAATTTATCTAATTTTAGTTGATATCCTGTCATTACCTTTTAAGCGTTGTAGCCACCCGCCATAGAAGCAATTTCATGCTCAGTGTCTAGTCATATGAGGCACACAGCTATACAACACGTAGGCTCTGGACGGAATGGTATTTATGAACACAAAATGACACTGCAGAAATCGTTTTTATCATCACTTCTGGCCTTGCTCGTGATACGCAGGCACACACTTGCAGATATGCCGCTCCAACGTTCATGAGCGAATTAGTAGAGACAGATGGCAGAAGGATAACCAATTATAGTCGCAGGTATGTTGGGGAGGACGGAAGCTCTGAGGAATGAACTAGATTGAGCCCCCGTGTTTAGGTATCTGTATACGAACAAAGTCTATTAGACGAAACAAACGCACAATATGTCTACTGAAAAATGTCAGGCTCAGCGTTCTCCAGTTTCTTGCAAAAGGCGAGAAAAAGCTCCACCAAATTGATATACTTCCCCTGCTCTCTGTGTTCCTTCTGCACCCAATGGATGAATTCATCAGAATTCCCCCAACCGCTTTGTACTCCCAAATATCGTTTAGCTAGTCCTTCAGCATATCCGGCCCTCCACATGAAAAATACAGCCTGAAAAATAAAACCGGCGAAAGGGCATTTGTCTCCCTTTGCATAACCAACATCGGAATGGCAAGCAGGAGCCTCATTGTTGTGGTTGTTGCTTTGCGGAAGGGCGCATTTGAAACAATACCCGAATTTCGCGAAGACAAAACACCTCCTGAATCTGTTGTAAAGCGCGGAGTCCCAAGCTCTACCTTTGAGATGGCATGCAGAATCATGCTCTGGACAGAATCTGTTGTGACCTTCTGCGCTGACAAAGTGGAATGGACAGCAGCCCTTCAACCTTCGCATATACTTGTCCAGGAGTGAAGTGCTTTGCAATCTTTTTTCGAGCCCCTCCCTTACTTTGTTGCCCCTACAGATCCATGATGGTTGCGTCTTAGATGTCACAGGAAGCGATGATGTAGGGGAGGTTATATTTCTTGCTGATGTGGATGCTGCAGATAGTGATACAAGAGGGGCTGACGCTGTGGGAGCCTTCGGCAACCCTGAAAGCGATGATCTTGTAGGGAGCATCTTCCTGGCTGGCTTGTGTGCCGTAGACTGCGATGGAGGAGGGGCTGACCCTGTGGAGGGCTTGGAAAAGGTGGGAAGTGACGCTCTAGGGGGGGCAGCCTTCTTCGATGCGGTAGGCAGCGATGCAGGATGGGACGACGCCGTTGGAAGTAATGCAAAGCCGCCAGATGATAGCGATGGTTGAGAGGACTGGGGGCAAGCGGTCAGCAACATGTCACAGGTATGCGACGAAGGCTATCACCAAGAATTTAGCTGCACGATCTTTGCGCGGAACCTTCTCGGCAGATGAACGATGCAGAGTGTCCAAGGCCTCAATGACATCCATTTCTCTAGCCATGTCTGGCGTGATGTCTGGTAGGTGTGCGAAAAAGTCTTCTTCACCATCTTGCAAGGGTGGAAGAGCTGTAGCTTCATGGACGGGTGATGCAGAAAAAGAAATGGAGCGCGGGGAAAAACTGGGTGTCAACATTTGAGATGAGCTGGGAACTAAAATGTTGCCTGTTGATGCTGTAAGAGATGCATGACATCTTCGTGATGAGCTTCCTCTGCATTCTGCTGACAACTGTTGGCCTTCGAAGTTGTCACTCATGATGTCGTTGTCTTCTTGCTCTAGGGAAGCAGGAGAAGAAAGGGAGCGTTGAGATGAGCTGGGGACTAGAACGTCTTCTGTGGGCGTTGCAGGATATTGCTGGGATAAGCTTGGGAACTGGATGTTGTCTCTGTATTCCGCATCCTTGATTGCTTTCATCGCAAAAAGTTGCATGCGGCTTTGAGGATCGCAGATGTCGCACAGCATCACGCTGGATCTGTCCCTGCAATGGTATGCGTACCGTTCACCATCCATGTACTTGATGGAGGTGTATCTGCGGCAGGTGTGGTGAAACAGCACATCATCCAAGCCTTTTGAGCAGTCATGGTCGTTTTCGCCCTCGAATGCTGACAGCGTTGTTTTCCGTGTCAGATAAAAAGTGTGAGCCTCCTGTCCATCCCTCCCTGCACGGCCCGACATCTGATTGACTACCAAGAGGCCATACTCAACTTCACTTATCACCACATATCTCACAGAACTTCGATCCACACCCTGGGCGAAGGCGGTAGTGCACGCCATTATCTGCGTGTCCCCACTGTCCCACCTCTCCAAATTCCGATCCTTTGTGTTTCCTGAGGTTGGAAGGTTGCTGTGAAATACCGCACAGTCCATGTGGAGGCTGAACGCGTCTGCCTCTATGTTTTTGCTGAAAAAAACCAGCATGCGATCCGATTTGCTCATCGTAGATTGGAGGGCATGCACGATGCGCTTTAGAGACAAATCAAAAGCCTGCGGGAGTACGCGCAAGACGTGAAATCCGATCTCTGGACGGTCTGTGCAGGAACGGATTTGGAGAATGGCGTTGGGTTCCAGGGAAAAGTGTTCAAGAGAAGCAGCGACGTTAGACGGGGGGTTTGTTCCGGAAAGCAAAGCCAACGGAATCCGCAATTTAGAAAGGTGGCGAGCAAGATTACGCCAAGGTAATTCGCGTTCTGGATGGCATATCAGGATATCTTGGATCTCATCTACGAACATCCTGTGAAACCTATGCTCTTCTCTGTGCATCAGCCTGGAAAAGAAACAGACATGAGAATCAGATTGTGGGTTCTACATGAAAACCCACTCCTTGAATGCCTTAGAAGAGCAGCTCTCCACTTGGATGAATAGGATCTGGACATCCTGCGGAACGTTCTTATCTTTGGTGAAGTTGTGTGCCCTCAGCCCTGCAGACAGACACCTTTCAACTTGTTCTTCCAGAAGGGCTACGAATGGGCAGATCACAATGCACCGCTGGTCGGGAAACATGAAGGGGCCGATCATCCATAGAGCACTTTTCCCCCCACCGGTCTTGAGAGTGACCATAGTGTCGCTTTGGGCGGACATCACCATCACAATTGCGTTCAACTGCTCAGGGGACTTTTCCTTGGCAGTTGGGTCCTTGAACAGCTGTTTGAATGCTACGCGCACCTTTTTTGTCCATGAATAGATGTCATCCTTCGAGAAGCACCGGTGCATGTCGCCCTCATCTGCCTCTGCCTCTTGCGATGGCCGTTCATAATCGACGTTGTCAAACATGACGTCCTCTTCCTCTTCCTCCAAGGAAGCCAATACGCTATATTCATCCTCGTCCTGGTCGCTGAGAAGATCTTCTAGGAATGAAGGTGTGGCTGAGGCACTTTGAGGGCCTTCTCCAAAATCAGGCAGTTCTGCTGTACCCGTGGGCGCATCCTCCTCTCCGCCTTCATAAGATTTTTCCAGTCGAATGCGTTTCGGAGGCTGGAAGTCATCGCCACACTCTGACTGGGCAGTAGGACCGGAGTTACGAGCTCGCTTGCCACGTGCTGTAAGAGCATGACCTGTCTGTACTTCGTGCTGGTGCTGGCTCTCGTTCTCATCACCGCTCTCGTCCAGGTCAACTAATTGCTGATCACCCGCCTCACTGGTGAAATGCAGATGGGTTTGCTTGGGTATTTGAACGGTGCCTTAGTAAAATGATCAGGATGTGGCTCAGATGGAGCTAATATATACATACTGCGGGATCCCTCTGTGACGTCTCTCATTGGTCGACCTATATGAGACGCTGCCTGTGAAATATCAAGAGCAGGGGCGCCAGGGCTCTGAAGCGCATTGACAATCTGAGGCACGACGCCGTTGGTGAGTAGATCCCTAAGCAGTCCCGGGAGGTTTTCCTGTAGAAAATCGTTAACCAGCTTTCCGGTGGCGCTCGAGACCGCGTCAGCTATGGATGGGTGGTCCAGTGAAGACGATGCAAGACTGTTCTGAGATTGCACCGATCCCCCACGCATCCTGGTCCTTCGAATGGGCTCCTGGGGCTCAAAGGGACCGAGGCCGCAAAACGAGTGCCACTCCTTTCCCAACCAGCGATGCTTCTCCACAGAATTATTTGACAGTTCAGGAATGGACCCGCGGAGGTTCCCATAGTGGGAATGATCTATTTCAGTCGAGTGGTCTGCGCCCTCCGCCAGTAGGTCGTCTGCTAGAGAGAATGCATGTTTGGCGGAGATGAATTCCCTGGCCATGGCGATGGCACCTTGTCGGAAGTCACGGACGCCCCAAGCACATTGGAAAACCTCTCTGTTCGTCTGCTTAAAGACGGCATACCACTGATCTTTGTTGATCCTACTGCCGTTGTCCAAGACCAAGAAGCTGACACGAACCAGTGAGAACCGCCGTCATTGTGAGGCATGACGATGGGACTCACGTTTTATAATCGTGCTGTGCTGAGTCTCCATATGCCACCTGTGCCAGAATAGACTCTGCTTCTCTAAGCCCTCCAGCAAGGAATTCTACCAACCATCTTGCCACCTTGGGGTTGACAAAGGCGGGAGTGCAGGAATCTCGGTCCGTGATGTGGGTGGTCTTGCTGTAGCCGGACAAGAAGAAAACTTCCTGAGCCTCGACAAAGATATTCCGGTGCCGATCGGCGTTAGAGATATGGTGCTGTAAGAACTGGACTGATCGCGTGGATATTTGCGAGGTTACGTATAGAAGATGATACAGGGGCTTCCATACCTCCCCGCTTTGGCGTAGGATGTCTTTTACAGCTGGTATATCCCAAGAAAGCACACCGCTCCCGTCCAACATAGCGAGGTGATGTTTCTCCACCAGGTCGCAGAATAGCTTGAGTCTGAGTGGGTGGAAGCTCTCGTGCATCGCAAAGGAATGTCCCCTGGTTGTGTTGGTCATGTCATCGTAGATGCCGTCAGGCATGTCCTCCAACATGATGCGTCCGTGCGTCAGCTTGAGATACCTGTCTTCTACCTTTTGCAGGAGGATTTGAATCCCTTGGCGAAAGTTGGAGAGGTTCATGGTCTCCGTTCCAATGGAAAACCAGGAAAACTGGGGATCGACATAGACTTTTGGCTCGCGTTTCTGACCGAATGCCAATGCCGAGGCATATTGCTGATATTCATGGACCATGTTAAATGTTGTAAGGCGTCCCACACGCAAGACCTCGTCGTGTACCGCAATGACTCGTCTGAAATAAATAATAGAGGGATGAGCGATACACGAAGGGCACAAGGGGAGGGTGCTTACTCGAGTTCGTCCACTTCATCCCCCTTCTGATACCATAGCGCATGGACGATGCACGTACTGTTGAGGAAGTATTTCAACTTCGCGAGGTCCGGGGTGTAGTCAGTGGCTTCATAGAAGTTCCCATCTTGCCGCAGCGCCCTCAACCAAATAAAACGCTGGATAACGTTTTCCCAGGGCTCGCCCTTATGAAAACTTTCTGCATTCATCAAAGACCACAAAAACTCGTGCAACCTGGTGATGGCTGTCTCATCCAGAGAATTGTTAGAGTCGTTCATATGCGTTATAAGGGCGACCAAGGTTTGTTCCTGAGCGGGATCAAGCTGAAAACTGAACTTTGAGGGATGATCGTTCTGGAAACGAAGCCTGACAATCGCCCGAAGAAACTGGACGATCGTATCGCAGTAGGAAGTATTGTTATCAGAGATCGGAACCCAGTAAACTCTACAAAGCAGAGGGTGACGTGAATCAGAGGCCGCGCAGACGTTGTATTAGGTAGGACAGACTCACGATTTGTCCGTCACATTGCTGCCGTTCAAGAGGGCCTTGGCCAGCGTCAGCTTGTGGGGATTTCCATCCAGGATGGTAGCAGCCATGTCCATGTGCGCCTGCATCAAATCCTTCAAGGCGGACAACACACCATGGCATTCTGCAGGGCTGTGCTTCTCCTTCAGCTTTTGGATCGCCTTAACCTGAGCTGGATCAGAACGGAGATTTGGCATGAATACATCCCAGGACATGGCCTTGATGAGGGGCCTTCGCTCTTCAGGCGACAAGGACGGCTGTACTACTGGAACGTAGAGCGAGGGAACAAATGTGTCGTTGAGCACTTTTGCCAGGTCCTTGTTCTGGAGGGAATCATTGGGATCCACCATGAAGTAAGTTCTTCCCACAGAATCAAAGAGCTGCTGCGCATGAATTTCTTTGCATCGTAGAAGATCCTTACTGCTTTGAGAATGGACATTTTTAGCATGTTTTTGCATGGTGGCCTTGTCGCAAACCACATAATCGCAGTCTGGGGAACTCAAACATAAGAATGCTTTGCGGGGAGAGGCAATGAGCTGGACGGGAGGTCCTCCAGAACCGGGGATTATGACTTGCTCTTGCCGGTGATAGATCTTGTTTTCTTCTACATATGTGGCTAGTGAGGAACGCTGGGACACTGTCAGAGATTGTTTGTGTTTCTCTTTGCGGTGGCCAGCGACCATGTCAGCTGTGAGGCACTTCCTACAGCCCTTGCAGATGAAAATCCTGAGCGCTGTATGCATGAAAATGCCCAAGGAGTCCATTAGAGTTGAAGAGAGTAGATAATCTTCTCCAGCAGTGAGGGCAACGCGACGAGTGGTATTCCCCTGATCGAGAGGTGCAGTTACCGGTGGCACTTGATGAATTCCGGTATTAGACTACATCCTCTTTCAAAGAGAAGGTCGAGAACGAAGACCTACATGAATTTGCCAGCTGGGTGTCGTGTCCCTGGTGAAGACGCGCGAGCGCTGGCAAAAGGTCCACAGAGTCAACTCAATGGAGCCTGACTCAGAAAAACACACACCATGAGCACTCCCTGCAGCAATGTCCTGGTTGTCACGTCTCTGGTGGGGGATGGTGGATGCTCCTTGAGAAGGTAAATGATTTAGCGAAGGGTGAAGAAGTAGCAGTGCAACAACTTACCAGTATGAGGAACAGGATCTACCTCTCCCTGGGGGGAGGAGGGAACCTGTGAATCTGCAAAGGAGCAATCACGGTGTGAATGGGCCATCAGGAAAGACACACGGAGATAGACTCACGGATCGAGGATTCGGTATGCCTCTTGAATGACGACCTCGTCGTATAAGTGCTACTGCAGCCTTCTACAGGACACCTGATATGTTTACCTTCCCACACCACGTTGTACATGACTCCCCCTATCTTGACAAGGCCAGGTGTAGTGTGATATTCATGGCGGTGCCTGGATGCATTACTGCCGTTGTGGAGAAACATATTGCAGTTCTCATGGCTGCAGGCGAGCGGGTAATTCACGGTGGGGACAGACATGTCTGGATGGGCGGAAAGGTAAAGGGTGGGGTTTAATGATGGGTAGGCAGATTAAATAATGGGGGAAGACTGGAAAATTGACCCTGTAAGACAGTTCTAAGTTAGTGCAACCTAGAAAATATCGTGGAATATGACAGTAGTACATAAAATGAAGTATGATACAGGGCAATTGGTGAACTTCTGAGTGAATTTAGTTCAGTAAGACTGTCACAATTATGAAGCGGCGATCTGTTAATTAGAAATGAAAGGCTCCGAATGACTAAATAAAAGGATAGACTCAGATCCAATGCTGATGGTATCACGACCATGAGGGCTGTTGGAGTCAGCGATAAGGACATCCATGCTAGGAGGCAAGCTTAACATGATCGGAAGGATGGATGGTACTCAAGGAGTGGAAATGCGATATTGAGCGGAGGAGGAGACAAGGAGATGCGGAACCGAAAGATTTACCTCGGCTGTGGTCCAATATCGTTAGCGCTTCCTTGGTCCATAGGAACTGCCGTGGTTCCGAATGACGGAATTACTCTACACAGTCTATGATGTAAAGGAAGAATGTTAAAATCTTTGCATCTGACCTATGATCTTTAGTGACGGTTCTATTTGCCGTTATGCCGCGTGCATTTTTCACAGTCCGCTATATTTATCCTAGAGCAACAACTCCGATATGTCACAGGTGAGTTACGCACGATAACACTGCGCAACTAGGGGTCGGCGTTGCCGACGTGGACCTTGCTCAGTCGTTGACTGTTATTTATTTATTGTTGCGGCGACTGAATTCGCATTCTGTTTTCAACCTTCATGTCATCAAGCAATATTTCGCAGCTGCAGGGCCACACGTCTGAGCCGCAGGGCAATACCAGGAAATCAGTTGTTTTTTGTCTCCTAACCATCATCTCGTTTGATGCGCATGCTTATCATGCTCGAAAACTTCACGAGCCCAATTATCTAGCTTCTCATGGTGTGCTAGATTCTACTGCTTCGCAGCATACCAACAACGTGTTCGAGGTCCCCTAATCAAGCGGGCCAATCTCCTTCCATAGGCATCTTGGCTGGCCGTGTTTCTCCCCTCCGACTTAAATGTGGAGCGGCTGGTAATCATATTAAAAAAGAGACCAGTCCTCTTGCCAAAGCTAAATACCAGTTTCACCTTACACGTCCTGCTGACCACGAACTCGGTATGGACTTTGACGCGTGAACATCCATTTAGGATGCTCTGCACAACCAAGTCGAGACTGCCAAGGAGCATAAAAATATGATTGTCGAAGATGTTACGGGTAAGATGATTCGTATGGTTAGGAATGTCTTTGACTGAATTGTTTACCATTACTCGTTCTGCTCACTTAAAAGTAAAATAAAATCGTTCCTGATTCCCCACACGGTCAGAGCCCCGAAGGCTCCCCTCAATTGGACAAAGAAACTCGGAGCTGGCCTATTGCGGGAGAGCTTGTGGGAGAACTTGACGAGTTGAAGTATACTTTTCAAGCAGATCCTCTTCCCTCGTATCACGATGGACACCTCGTCGAACCTTCTCATGCAGAGAATGTCACCAACAGTGCGATTGTTGAAGTTCATTTCGGCATTCTTCACTGGCACCTCAGTAACTTCAACAGTTTCCAGGCCAATTTAGACCGTGCCTGAACTTCGAGACCGTCCCGAGCGGAAGATCAGCTGATCATAGGTTTCTTATCTTGGCTACACGAGTTTTGGGACAGTGATATACACATACGTGGAATGGGCACAAATGCACAAGGCATCTTCATGAGTTACGCTCAGGTACCGCACATCGTTGAAAGGCTTCGAGTCAAGACGGTAGGGAAGAAGATGATTATAAGCTGGTACTAGGCCTCTTAGATCTTTTCTTTTGTTTCCGCAGTTCGCTCTCACGTTGTTTGTTATTCTAGTCTCGTTCGAGCGCAAGGCTGGTCACTGAGTGACCACTCTGCTACCCTCTTCTCAACACCATGGCTAAACTGCTGAGTGTAGCATTAGTCTTCTTGAGCCAGACATTCACCCATCTTTCCCAGCTATCGTTCTTAGCTGATTCTGCCTGGGTAAACAATGGCCAGGTTATCGCCTCAGGGCTCTCCAACTCTATCCAAGAGATCCTCGATATTTGGAACATCACTGGACTATCTGTCGCAGTCGTTCCGAGGTACGGCGAACCGGAATTTCGTTCATGGGGAAACATGACAGAAGACAGGGACAAGACAACAAAAGGCGTGCGAACTGCTCAAGTTTCTTCTTACATGAACACGGAAACTGCAATTTCCAGACATTGTTCCACATGGCATCTGTGTCCAAGGCTTTCTGTGTGAGCGCTCTTGGAATTTTGATGGACGACTATGAACATGGAATAAACATCACACCGCTTCCCCCCGCTCTGTCGGAATTTAATTGGCATACCTTGGTAAAAGATATCCTTTCGGGAGAATGGCAATTGATGGACGACTGGGCGTCAGAGAAAGCAAATATGGCGGACATCCTCTCTCATGTGTCTGGCCTTGCTTGGTAGGCTTGACTCAAATTCTTCAACGCTCCAGCACAAGATTTTATTGAGCCTGAGCTAGCCATGACTACTCGTATGGACCACACGGCAGTCCGAAAGATGATGTCTTGTGGATGCGCCATCTAAGACCAGCTTTTGAACTTCGGAAGCAGCGGTCGTACAACAACAGGGTAACGCAGCCTCAGCAAAGGCGCTAAATGCATCTTCTTAATCTACGAATAGATGCTCACGACGGCCGCATATCATTGAAACTTACTCCGCACAAACATACACCTCTTTTGTAGAGGATCGAATCTTCACGCCACTAGGAATGACCTCTTCTACCTTTTCACCCGCAAAGGCTGGGAAGACTGGCAGATTCACCCAAGGATGGACTAACAGCGGTAGACTCATACCTCAGTGTTTCACAGAAGAGATCGTGACTTTGATGGCCGGTGCAGGCGGCGTGATTTCGAGTGCCGTAGATATGGTAGGTGTTTTTTCCTTCTTTCTATTTACCAACTGAAGACATTTGTTACCATCCAGTCGAAATGGGTTGCATTGTGGCTTAACAAGGGCGTGCACAACAATATCACAGTCATACTGCTGTCTGTGTATGGAAACGCATCGCAGTCGTATTCCATAATCGTCGGCGCCTCAGCTGATCCCGAGTTCTCGATTCAGGGGTATGGGATGGGTTGGGGTAGAAACTCGTACCTAGGCCACGATGTAACCAATGTTTCATCTGTTATTGTGCATGATGACTGATGCCGGAACATCAGATCGTACACCACACAGGGGGGCTTCCGGGATTCTCTACACGAGCCTCATTCCTTCCAAATGACGATATTAGGGTCGTCGTTTTTGCCAACAGCGGCGATCATGCAACACCTGTGATGAATATCTCCAACAGTATAATCGATGTAACTCTGAATCTGCGGTCAAAACCATCACCACCGATGTTCATTGTTTTCGTTGCCAAATCCCTTCCCTTTGCTCACTTATCACTGTTTCAGTAAACCCGACATGTCGGAGAAGAAACCAATCACGCCTAAAAACGAAAATGTCGTTGACTTGGAACTTGCACTTGAAGAGTTCACAGGCACATACACCAACGCTGGATACGGCGCCATCACTTTTTGCAGTCCTTCTGGCAGTTCCTCGTGTTGTCAAGATGTGATCTCCGACTTTGCTGCGGTGGATGCAGGAAAGTCGGTTGCTCCCCCAGCCGGTTCAGCTGTTCGCAGCATGGCCTCGCATATGGTCATCTCATATTCGAGGTGTGCACCGGTCCGGAAATACGTTCGTGGCTCAGTACACCTCGTTGTTCCCAGAAGGATATGGGCGCGATGCTACACCCTTTGAGACATCGGAGATAGGGTCATCTGAGGTTACAGCAGAATTCGTTGTGGAAGATGGAAAGGTTCTTGGATTTGGCTTGGTCGGGCTGGCGGGCCGAGTAACGGAGAGGGAGCTAACGCACACGACTGTGAAAGACTGAGCTGAGGTTTGGTTCGAGAAGGTGTAGTGATACAAATAATGTATTAAGCACGAGATACCGGCGGCTCGGGCACTGTTGTGCCCACCATGTCATGCTGCGTTGTTGCGTTCTGTCTCCTCTTAACGTTCATGTTCTGTTTTTTTTTTACGGCTCTGTGCTCAGTAGTGACTATGGAGACCTCTGCTTCATTTCACGGTGTTGTTGGACCACAAACTTCGACGACACCATTGACGTCCCCCTCCCAGCAATTTTCGAAGACGCTGAAAGTTGTCTCGATCGTGCATTCCTTTCCCCTCTCAACGTCTATGTTGAATCTTGATGGATTTTCAGTGACAAAATTCCAGATGACTTGCCAGGCGATTTTTGTAAGTATCAAAAGTGATATCAATCACACATTTCACTGACGAAGCCATGTAGGATCTTATTTTAGTTCAGACAGCCTGAAAGAACCTGAGCAGACTTGATTGAACGCACCAGAATACACACTCAACTATCTTGCAATGTTAACCCATCCTGGAGTATGTAACCTCTCGGTAGAAATGGGATTGGGCATAAACGCGCGTGTGCACGTCGTCGTGCTGCATCGTCGCTTCCTCAACCAATCTCTAACTTCTCAATACATTTGAAAGCCACTGCATCCCCCGCATTACACACAAACCGTTCGCCATGGACAGTGAATGCAGCTACATTAAATGGATGTCAAGGTTTGACGCTAAAGCAAACCGTGCTCGACCTTCGGACCGATCCCTTCGCTCATGGTCGATTGTGCACGCTGTTGTCGAACGTGAGAACGCGACGAGACACTATCTATTTTCAGAGACGACGCTGATATAGTATCTCCTGAGTTGCTACTGTAAACACAATATCATATTGTCGTAGAGCCGACCGAAGGGGAGTCCTTATTATGCATTTACCCCAAAGTTCCTATTAGGCCATGTCGCAATGATTATGTAAGTCTCGGATGTTTTGTTACGGTCGAGGGGGGAATGTACTACGGTGATGATTGAATATTGGCCAAAGGCGAAAAGTACAAGGGATTATGGGTTACGTGCGGCCCTTGTTCATTGTTGTGTTACGATCATGGAGGTGACACTGATGGGAATTGCATTCTATACAAGCATGCATTGTCGAAATTGTGTGACCTGTAGTCCTCTATAGCTACCAATGCATGGTGGTCGTCGGATTCTTTGAAACAGCCATAGAGGTGCAAAATCATGGCACCATTCATGTGCATGTCTCGATTGCCCAAACAGACATCCAGATTCAAGAAGGTATCGGCACTGAAGCATCACCATTTCATAGATAATTGACATTCAACATAAGATCACCCTGAATAGTCAAATACGTGTACACCGGGATGTAAAATGCTTTTTCAAGATAGTTATTCGATGTGTGTAGGACATTCAGCGATCTGCACGATATGTAGGATGTTCGGCGGTCTGCATAGATACGCTTGACTTAGAACGCGAACATCGACGAGATCTGACAGACTGAATACTGGAAATAAACTTCGATTAATGTCAATAAATAGTTTGGCCCAAAGGCAGTCCGCGATAAAAGGATTTAAAGCTCCGCAAGGTCTGTGTCGGCACCGCCGGCCCCTAGTATACCAGATGCTGAAGGCAATAACCAGTGGGGCAGTGGGGTACAAAGCACTGTATGTTGTACAAAATGACTTGCTCTTTGGTAACATTGCACGGCACTTCAGCCGACAAACTGGATTTCGACAGATCCCGAAGACAATGCTCTTCGTGCTGCATTCCAGCAATATAGCCGAGAGAAGAATTGGTCTGGCTTGACTGCAGACGAGCAAATAGTTCACATTGAAAAGGAATTCGGTCTTCAAATCAAGTGAGTACATTGTATTTTGACGTGTCTCAGGTACTGAGGGGAAGTCACAAAGACGGCACAACCTTTTTGACATCAGAAAGCGACCGGGGTATCGAGAGCATACGGAAAAATGTCAGCACCACAGCCGAAGAGCGAGTGCAAACTGTCGTCGATGCCAAATGCCATGACCTCGCTGGGAAGTGGGGTTTTACACAAGTTCGTCAAAGGTTAGCCAACCAAGGCACCTTGGTGAAGCGGTAAGCTTTGTAATATTTCTCTATCTTTACGCAATCAACAATGCTGAATTCATCGGAGACAAAATCAGGCAGTTGCTTCATGATCACTTTGATGCAGAGTTTGATGGACGATTTGTGGGGTCGAAGGATGCAATTGATCGTGTACCATTAGACTGCCTCGGGCTATGGCTACGAATGGCGAAAAGTGCACCGGTGAATTTAAATGTGACTCACGTGCATGCTAAAAGACGTCACACGTCTAAAGAGACAAGGACTTCGTAAGTCCCCAGTCGAGTATGAACAGACTGAATAGTATGTACCTAAAGAGACAATGACTTCGTAAGTCCTGTACTACGTCAGTAAGGAATGTGAGTATTGTATAGTGAGACTTACCCCAGTCGAGTATGAACAGACTGGGGGAAGAAGGGAAAACGAGACGAACGAATGTATCCTGAGCGGAGTCACCATATATAGTAAGTACGTTGAAGGTAGTGAACGCGACACCAAACAAAAGGAACATCTATACTATTGGTTACCACTTGCTCGTGCACACCACATTTCGTGCATCCCTCAAAAACAACACTTTTCCTACTACAAAATGTTCAAACTACTACATCTATTTTAAATAATAATACACAATAACGTCTTACGAGCTTAGACATATGCATTTGGACAAGAAACAAGAGAGATAGATGTTTGGTTGTGACAAAGGCTTTTGTCACTTCCATTGTCACCTGCCGTCCGCTGCCGCAGCGGAGTTTTAACTCAACGCGTTAGTGGCAACGCGTCTCGACGCGTCTACTCGCTGCACGGATGGCGCGCACTCGAGTCGGTGGGAAGCAGAAAGGTCCCCGAGATCCCACCAAAGAAGCTTGCATTCAGGCTGCCATCCGTGATACCTTGACTGGTGTTCATGCCAGTTTTCGCAGTGCTGCCATAGCTCACAATGTAAGCACTCCCTCAACAATTTTGTTGCAACTCAATTTTCCTTCAGGTAACCCCACCGACTGCGAGATCGTGCGGCAGGCAAACACCATACTCGACGCTCGTTCCTCAACGAATCCCAAGAAAGAGTACTGGTGGACTGGTGCCACCATAACTCGAATTCAGCAACCCCTTTACATCCTCGAAAACTCCGCGCTCAAATACTGGAGATGGTCAACAGCATCACGACAAGAACATTTGACAGTCCCTTCACATCATATAAACGGAAAGAAGATCTGGAAGCACTCGCTGGAGCACTTGGACTCTCAAGAGATGGAAAAATTGCTGATCTTTCAGCACGGATCAAAGCTCACTTGGAAGATCCTGACACTCGCGCAGCTCTTGCAGATAACCCTCGATTTTCAGCGCTATATGGTTCGAAACGACGCACCGGCAGGCCTGTTGCCATTACCAACCTGACTTCGAGTGAAAGCTCAACACCTTCAGCCAGTACTTCTCTCCCCACGGCAGCCAACAATATGTTCCACCCACAACCACCTTTGTTTCCGCAAATGCAAGGATTTCCGAGTCTCCCCGTTATGTATCCAAACCGGTCACATCATGTTCAAGCTGGCCCCGCTGTACTCTCAACAACCACCCCTGTCGTATCACAGCCATTGCTGTCTGGGCATCCTAATAGTCACAGTTCATATTACTCCGGCAATCCGCAATACATATTCAATTAGATTACTACATACTAGCTACTGGTACACTGGCATATATCTTCCTAATGTCTAATCCACAGCGTGTCGAGCGGACTGCGAAATCGGCCAATGTGACTACACCGTGACTTTCCGTTACAATTATGTGACTGCACGAAATGTGGTGTGCACGAGCAAGTGGTAACCAATAGTACTACTATGTTGACGGATTGATTTCCAACACATGCACCTCATTATTGTCGGCTACACAGATTCGAGCTACTACTCCGGGCTGCCCACTTGTTTCCCTGTGTCCAGATCTCACACCCGAAGACTCTTGTCGTGGGAGCCAGTAACAAGGAGACAAGTACCAAGGATGAAAGCTACCTTGTTCACCTATTTCTCAAGACCATTAAGCGCCAGTTCGAGTCTGTGAGGCATTTCCTTCGGAGTTGGCGCTTTGGACGCTGCTTTGTGAGTGCGTCGACCAGGGGGTGGTCACTTGCGCGCACTAAGGTGAGTAGGCACTAAGTTGCATCTCCTACAGGATACTAAATCCACATGTCGGCCTTGCTGTAGATACATGGTGTCCCGCATGCAAGTCAGTGTTTCAGGAATAGCGCGGTGGTCCCTTGTAATGTGCTTCGCCATGTTGTGGCTGATTCTATTTCTCGTCCCATTAGTCTCTTCTTGCATTGAGCTTGTACTGTTAGATGACAACATGAATACAACGAATCATCGGCTTGGTGTCTGCGCACACAGATTTCTACAAAAACAGATCAGAAAATACTATCAACTGAGACATACCCAGGCGTTACTTTTGTGCCAATACGCATCGGTTTCACACTTGGTCGACGAGCCTTCTTCTTAGCGGGCGCAGGTATAAGCACCTCTGTCCTGACCGAGAGTGATGCTGCATCAGAGTCGGGGTTAGTTGGGGTCACTAAGGATGGCGTAGGTGTTGAGTCGTTGGAAGGGACTGTAACTGCCGGTGAGTTGGTGTTGGCATCAGATGTGGGCGCCGGGGTCACTTTTGGGATAGGTCGAGGTCGAGGTTTCAAGACAAGGCTGTCCCTAGATTAATATATCAATACAGAGAACAGTATCCAGACAACTAAAACTTACAGTGATCATAACGAGTAGGCATATTAGTAGCTTACCTTGCTAAAAGTCCTCCTCTAGGGTAGGGCATGGGTACGGGTAAAACCGTGGTGTATCGCTAACGGGTGTGGCGGGTACAGGTACCGTGTGGATTATGCAGGCCCGCACCTACACCATGCTCACCCGCGGTGGTTTACGGTGTTGGACGGGTGTAGATCCCTCAGCTTGTCCGAGGGTGCGAGGGTCAAAAATTCATTACTTACAAAGGACCTCCCAGGTCGGAGCTGTCACCATCTATGCTTCGACCGCAGGTCCATCGAGTAGCAATGTCGATTTAGAGTGACAATTGACGGCACCAGTTATGCTGATTTCAAATCATACTCGTCAAAATCGTCTTCGATAGCATCGTCTCTGAAGTCTGTCGGCCAGGCAGTCAAGAAGAGTGTGGATGTGCTTACCGGCCCTTTGAAGAGAGTCAAAACCGTCTTACTCTCAAAAAGACACACTCGTTGTCATCATCATCCGAGTCGCCCGAACCAACGGTAATTGATGTTGACACAGTGACGAAATCTGACAACGAAGAGGACCTGCATGCATGTACTATACAAAGGTCTCTCTCAAATACCATACAACCCGCAGGTCTGTGAACGAACCACGGTATACCACAAACACTGTTCATACCCGCAGAATTGGCGGATCAGTGTAGACCGGTACCGTAGCGGGTGCGGCGTGGCTTCAGAGACCCGCGGGTTCACCTGTGCTCAACCCTATCCTCGTCCAACTCTGCACGGCTTCTTGATGGATATGGTTTGTTGGCCCTTGTCCTTGTCCGTTTCAAGCGGTTGTTTGCTTGACGAGGGTACAGGCACAATGGGAACTGCAGGTTGCGGCTGTGGGACAACAGAAGGCTCGGAAAAAGGACATGGAAGGGGATGTTGTTGGGTAATTCTGCTAGAGCGATGAGTGTAGTATGTCGTGCGTTTGACTGTCTTGGATTTTCCGAAGTTCTTTCAGAGGCAGACTTCACAGTCACAGACGTATATGACGATATTGTCGTGTAGTCCGAGTCGATGTATGCCGGCTTCGAGGTCCATATAGTGTTAGACAGGGACTTGTGATTTTTTGGGCAGCGTGTGTAAACGGGTTGCAATATGATAAGATGTATGTAAACACAATAATTTGAGTTGCATAAGCCGCGCAGACGCAAAGCGCTCACTGCAAACTACAATCATGTTCTTGCATTTTTACCTTTGCAAAGATTACCTGTGCTTTGCACAAAATCAGAGTTTTGCTGTCTCGAATTTCTTAGATTTGTATCTACCTCAATTTGTGCTTAGACGTCTATCTTCACGTATCGGCCTGATTCTTGTCGATTTTCACTGGGGGTCAGACTTGACCGGACTCAGACAATTGTTCACTGTCACAAATTTGTAATGTATGAGAAAATCAGCTAGCACTGCGGTCTGTCAAGCAAGAAATTGGCTGCCCTAAGTGATGTGGCACTCGGCCAACATCAACCATCCATACACCCACACATAATAGAATAAGAAGTTGGGGTTAGGGTCCAGAACGCGAGTTGGCTGCACAGGGCTCTGTCAGGATCACTCTTGCTTACTATACAGGCCTAACAAAACCTGTTTTTCTGCGCGAACAACTGCAGGTTCAGTAGCCAAAGGTGTACCCTCCCAGGAAATACAGCTCGTCTCAGAATTTTACCCTCCCCTGTACAGGATGTTGGGCGCACCCCACCTGGCATCAGTCCAGCATAAGCCAGATGCACCTCCGAATTCCAAGAGGCGTATGCTAGGTGGTTGGGAACAGGGACAAAACACAACAAACATACTACATAGATAGGCGAAGTACATTGATATCATGGATCACAGCTGGTACTAAGCCCAAGAGTACAGGGCATCATATTCTACAGGGAGGAGCAGTTGGCAACATAATTATGCAACCAAAAAGGTGAGCCTGACCTTGTCTGCAAATTCAGAGTGCGCAATACCTTCGTCGTGATGCAATGCATGCCTATTACCAAGGTGATTATAGCCGTAGTAGCCCTGGCAGCTAATCCCCCCCAAGGCATTATAGCCCCAGAGCATCCTGCCTTGTACAAGGCAGAGGGAGCACTGCACCTCCGGCCCTCTACAATCACCACCCCACAGAAGTCAGCAGGTCACACATCCCATGGGAAAACGTGACAAATCGGTCACAGTACATCAAGTGCTGCCCTGTGATCAAGCCATTGACTTCTGGAGGTGCAGATTGCAGGGGACAGGATAGTAAAGGAAGGCGTATGTTAGGCGTTGGGATAAGTAGAGTGACGTACCATAAAATGGGCTTCAAGTCCTGAGCATCTGTTGGATGGATAGGTGGATGGATGGATGGATGGGTGGGTGGAAAAAGAAGATCAAACAATAAATCAACCAAACAAACAGGGGCAAGTACAACACGCACAAACCAAATGCCATTACGTAAGGGAATGTCACCATGAACTTGGCTGATTCGCAGTGGGTAAGAACGTGCATTGCTCCCTATAGGATGGGTGAGATGAGCCTTGGGGATATGAGGAGAGCAAGCTGCTGCTGTACTGCTGAAGGATCTGTGTCCTGGGGCTGTGGTGGAGGATACAACAGTTGAAATTTCTTTACTTCAGATGAGTATATAAGACGGACAGGGGCATTGGCAGCGGCGCTGTGACAGGCTGCTTATACACCTGGTTCTCAGCCACACACTCTGATAAGGCAAACTGTGGAGTGTGCAGGAACAAGCACCCAGCAGCCACAGGGTCATCAGCCATGATGTAGGGATAACGTGCGATGTGTTGTTCTCTACCTTCACAGACGTGGGCTATAGTCAAGGAGAGCCTGGGGAAGGGGCGACTGCTGTGAAAGGGAGTAATATGAACTGAAGTGAATAGAAGGCGGGGGGAATGGCTAAGGCTAGGAATAGCTGTGTAAACATAGGACAGGGTGGCTCCACATGCTGTGAGCCAGGGAGGATAGGTCACATGCAGCTGCAGGAGTGAAGGGCGAGAGGCTGAGAGAGAAGGGTAGGTGACCGCAAAAAGGAGAACGAAGGCGGTGAAATCCCGCTCCCTCGCAAGCCCCCGGACTGACACAATACTTCCTTTCCCCTAGATAGAACGGCCATGAACATAACCCCCGAACGCTGTATCAAACGCATGAACATATCACCTGTAACACCAACCTTCTCTCCTCTCCTCTATTCATTCGAAAACTGTACAACCTCTACTCGTCTACACGGAATCTCCTGAAGCGGTGCAAGTCAACGTCCCTGTAATGGTCATTAATGTTCATCTGACCATTCATCCAAACCCTCGTTTACCCACCCACCGATTCCTGTACCTGATCAATATATGCGACGGAGTACACGTTCAATAAATGCCACCATAGTTATACATATAAACGCACGCATACATAGAGTCATCTCATCAACACCGGGTGGTCCATCTAAAACGGCTGGTGGGAACGGCGGACTGCTGGGGGTACGCCTCACAGCAGGGCATTTGGGCACTCGAGATGCGATAGGGACACTGGGAGTCCCCTAGACTAGATTGTAATGTCTTACATAGAGTACTTCTCTGCAAAGGACAGAAACTGGATTTTTTAAAAAAGAAGGAGAACGAAGGGCGCCAGTGGGTGACTGGCGGTGCTGACTTGGATATTACTTCCCTTTTCCCACGGTGACAAGGTGGCTGGTATCGAGACTACCCAAATTGAAATCTCAAATGGTTTTTGGGCCCCGGGTACACTAGAGGAAAGGGCTGGACTTTGTCAGCAGGAACCGTGTTTACTGTCAAGTTTGAATGACTGTCGTTTGTTTTACAGTGTGTTACATATGAAACTGCAGTGCGAATTTTTGAAAAATTCGGCCTCGCTGCCTTTACTGGGGCTTTTGCATCCAAATTAGGCAAAGTAGCGTCATACTTTCCGCGCGCTTGACTTGCGCTTGACCACATTTAGATACAAAAGTCCCGGTGAAGGCAGCGAGGCCGAATTTTTCAAACATTCTCACTGCAGTTTGATATGCAACACACTGTAAGCTCCCACGTATTGTCGTGTCATGTGCGATCAATATGAAAATTAGTGGGATATTCATTTACCTGCTCATCAGCAGTCTGCTTGATATCTGCAGCTGACGCCATCATTAGCCGTGAGACAAGGCTCCCTCTCGGACGGCAAACCTAATACAACAATCTTGGCAGTTTTGACGTATTCCTCAAAGTAAGTGGAGCTGTTCATTGTGTTGTCTAGTCTAACGAATGTATAGAAACGAGAAGGGCTGTCTACAGCACTAGCTTCCCCTCATGCTCATCTCCTGTACTGTCACTCTCCTCGTCATCTCATTGTTGTTCATCATTTTCTTTCATCGTCGGATCCTCTTGTCTTGCACACCCTCTGCTTTAGTGTACCGTGGAAATCCACCGAGTTATCCACCTGCGTGGATATCCACCTAGTTATTCACGTGAATAACTAGGTGGATAACTCGAGGTCAAAATTGATAGGGTGGGTTATGTGAATAACTCAAACAACAGTATACAAGCGCAGGGTTACGCTAAATAGTACTAAATACTCTTAAAAAGCTTAATGATCGAACACTGCGAATCTACAAGCCTATTTAGTTGGTGGAATGTCAAGCAATGTTTGTTTGGTCGAACATCGACGTGAAAATTGAATGGAATAGTGTGAACTTCAACTTAAGTCATTCATCCCCCCAGCCAAGCTTCGTAATTCGTGATCCACAAAACTTTCATGCAGCAACACCTCAAAGATAAAGATCAACTAGGACAATGTCTCAAGGCACTGCCACCGGACATTCCAGTCTGCTTGCCTTCCTTGTCTCAATTTTGTGCCTGCTGTTGTGTCGCTTCCCCGCTACCACGTACACTTTGTGTAAAAAAGTTTGATATAAGTTGGGCAAAGTAAACTCATGATTTCCTGATGCAGGAGTGAGTGTCCTGTTGTGAAATATGTTGCTTCCAAATTCATCATATTTCGCGCGATTCTAACCGT